TTCCCAATTGTTGTCATCATGGAAAAAAATGTGAACGCTAAGGGTTTTTTTTCAAAGGTAAGTTTAGGGTCAATTAAATTATATTTTACTTAAATGAGGGACTGAAGAATATCTATATGAAAATGGTATTAATAAATGTTTACCACAGCAACTTTGAATGTAATTCAAACTGTATAGACGCTAACATCAATGCGATGTTTTAATTGCTGTATTAGTTAAGTGTAAGATACAGATTTCTGAAATGGAAATGCAATCTTTTTTTTCTTACGATAATGAATCAGTTTTTGCAATCTGACTTTAGTTCAGATCTTTTTATTTCTTACATGTAGATCTGATTTCGCCTTCACTTCGGAAATCCCGAGAAAGCTATTTTAGCCATGCAATCAAACCGTTCTTTACAGATAGACATTAGACGAAGTATCAAAACTATCGTTGCCCGTGGAAGTACAACAATTTTTTGATATTTTTTAGGAAAGAAAAGATGTATATATAAAGTAATTTGAAACAAATAAACTGGAAGTAATAGTAATTTTTAACGCCATGGTTGTTCTTGAAATCGTGAAAATTACCTACTCAGTATTGGTTTTCCAGCGTTTAAAATTAGAAATTGCATCGTCTTCAAAACTGTGAAAGCTCGCTGATGATTGGCTGTTTAAAACATCACGAGAAAGTGACAATCTATTGGTGATCGTCAGATCCTAATGCGTAGCATTATTTAGGAGTTGATTTTAATCAGATTGCAGTTTTTGTTACCCTCAATCAATAGACCGGGATCAAAATTGGAACTGGTATATTTGTATCATAAATTTAGCTTGTTTTTGTAATTGCAATTTATACCGTTGCTTTTCTTCTTCAGAGAATAGTTTTCTTGCTGTCTCCATCTAAAAAATGGGGACCAATCGACCATCAAGCACGAGAAATATACGAATCTAAACCGTACAGATACGAAGACACCCTCTGCAAAAGGATTCGGGCAAATGTTTTGGGGGACAAGTCTGCGTCCTGGTTTTAACACGTTCGACTGTAATCATTATATCCATTGATAGTCGGATCAAACACTATAAATGTTAACTGTGAAAAAATATCGATTGTACAGCTCAATGTAAATAATATTATTCTTTGTATCAAAGTATCAAATATTTAATATATCGGGGTATAGATAAAAAAAAATGTAAAAAAATAATGTTGTTATCGCTGCTTATTGCAATATGTAAACCAATAAAAGTACTGCATTCTCAATTTAGTGATGTTTTGAAAATTCAATCAATTTTAACATAAATAGCCTGTTGTCATAACGAATAAAACATCTCAGTCAGGTTGTTGTTGTCGGGTTTAAGTCGCACTGACATTGAATGGTCACATGACGACTTTCCAGTTTTACTTGTGGAGGAACACCTTGTCAGTAATGTAAAATCTGAATCGGTCAGCATATACCTATTTAAGATGTGTTTTACCTCATTAATTAAAGTGCATGAAGTATGATAGTTTTGCTGATTTATGTGACAAAGTATCAAACTTCACAGCATTCCTTTTCGATCTTTTTTGCAATCGTTTTTACGCTATGCTAAATAATTTTGATAATTTGGTTTTGGTCTCGTCGGCACTGTAAATGTCATATAACGACTTCCCAGTTTTATCGGTTGATGAAGACCCTTCGTACATCATTACAGGCACGGACGGGCACTTGAGTGAACAACCGACCTTCTATACGCTACCTGAATAGCCTCCTCACATGAAACAGTTCAAAAGCCCTTGACAGTATACAAAGCGGTTGAGATTAAAACTGATTCAAGTCAAAGACCTGAACCAATCGACTATGTGGACCATGGAGGAATAAAAAAACACAACACAAATATACAATTCATCCCTCTGTGCCATTTCTATTTTCTTCTTTTCTTTCTTAAGACACTCTGCAAAGTGATGAAGCTCGGATTTATTTTTGGTAGCTAGGATATTTATTTCTACATCAAAATACTCCGGTAATATTCCAGATTCCAAAGATTCCACCATATCATCTATTACATCAAGTAAAATCCGGTCCTTGTATTTTGCTGACCAATACCCAGGTGATCTCCGTCTCTCGCTTGACCAAAGTATTTGAATCTATAAAATAATATTTTGATAAAATCTTATTCTTCTTCATACAAAACAATGTGTGTTTACTTATCTAAATTTCAAGTAAATTAATTCTTGTTTCGTATTTGATACCTGTCCTCTTTTTATGAACTTTGTTTTAAGAGAGAAAAGGTTAAGGAACAGTTATATCTCACCATCACTACTGCACATGACTTTGTTCGTTCTGTGAGAACACTTGATAGATTGATTCATATTTGGTATTGTCACATCAAGATCAAAATTTATGTAATGAGTATTATTTTAAGAAAAAAACTCTTGCATTATCAAAATGTTTTAATGGCATCATTGAATTAGACTTATACACAGTTTCAAACTTTTGAACCGAAACCGAATACCGCTTTCTTATCAAATCAATGGATACCTTCACTATGTAGGATGACAATCCCGGTAATTTGCTGGGTGAATCCTCTTTGCAGTTCTGCAAAAACTGCTTCAGTAGCTTCATAGCACCACGTCTATATTCATTATTATCATCAACACCATCTAAAAGGGCTTTTTCAGCCTTGGAATAGGAAATGGTCCATGTCTCGTCGCCTTTAGGTACTAAGTGCAGTCCAGCCTTCTTAGCAGATTCAACTTTCTTATTGAATGCGCTCTTAGAGTCTTTTCTTGGCCAACCATGAATGTCTACTGGAAGGGAACACGGTAAAGACGGTACGATGTCTACACTGATGTCGCTATACTTCTCTTGTTTTATGGTTATAGTTAGTGCTGGTCCTTGTGCTGTTGGAGATAGTTTAACGTCTGAAGTATAAATAAACATATCGCTCGAGGACAACAGCCGCATGAACTACACAAACTTTTTTTTAACTTAATATAGAGTATCTAATTCATATCATTTAAATTTTCTATCTAATTAAAGCAAGAAGAATGCGAATGATGAATACCCGTATGTTATGATGAAGATTATGAATAATTTAACATTCAAATCTAAACGTATCTGAATAGATAAGAGGGCTGGTCCGCATTTTGTACGTAAATGTGCGTTGTTTTTACAAGTCATAAGAAAACGGGGATAGTCATAGATGAGTTATCAATATTTTGAGGTCAAATGTTTGCTTACTTATCTTATCTGGCATTATATAATTGTTTTTACTGTAAGTAGCCTGTCATTAACCCTTTCCCTCATGATCATATTGTGAAAAATGGCCGTTTTCATTGATCAAGTTCAAACTGCTATGGAACTATGAAAAATGCTTCAATACTAAACAAACTTGGCACAAATGTTGACTGGACCAATGCCTTTGTAACGACATGCTCAGCCTTAAATTTCCTGTTACCATGGCAACGAAACGAGGGGACATCTCAAAGTTGCCAAAAATTGCTATTTTGCATTGTTGTTTTTTTTTTTTTTTTTTTTTTTTTTTTCATCAAAGTGCTGCAACTTCTCAATGGATTGAGATGGAGTAAAATGCTTTTCAGCGTTGGTTACACGTTACCTTACAATCGACCTGAGGCCATTTTTAGCCTCTCACAAGTCAAACATTTTCTCGGCGATGAGGGGGACTACCGCACCCTTCAAACCCCCCAAACAGAAGGGGCACAACCCCCTTCTGGCAACCCCTGATATACCTTTTTGATAGGGGCGGCGCTGAAAAAGTGATCACTTTTTAGCAACATTTCTCAAACGAAAAACAGTGTTTGGTGTCTAAATTGGGTAATTTTTTCACTGTTTGAGGCCTCAAAAAGAGGGAGGGGTCGAAAACCCGTCAAAACACGTCTACATTAAGTAAAGGGTTAAAGCCACACTCGTTCAAGTTAATAAACAAATTTTCAAATAAAACAAAATAGAATAAAAGTTCGACAAAATTAATGACATTTTACGTCATTTTCATGACTAAAGTGACATTTCTACTCCGCGGTCTATTCTAAACGTATTGAAAAGAAAATGTACTAAGCTAGATTTTATCGTTTAATTTGTACATTTGACAATGTATATTTAGTTATTTGAACAATTCTTAAAATTTCGGTCTAAAAATAGCATGATATATGCTGCTGTAAAACAGCAAAAATGATATTAATCTGATAGATACCAACTGTATGTGTAATGTAGGACTTACGTGAAAATTCGAGGTCTTCAATAGCTTTTCCCACCTTTGAATGGAGATCTTGCAGTACTTTATGTGGAATCAAGTCGCCCTTGTATGTCAGATTATATAATAATGAAGGGTTCTTTACTTTAACAACAGCTTGACCATGTGGAATAGGCGTCTCAGGTATATCTCTAAATTTACGATCCGGTGTCATTTCTCGTGGGACTGACCGTTTGTCCTGTTAATTAGAAAATATGACTTAATCATTTATCACTAATTAGAAAATATGACTTAATCATTTATCACTTTACAGATTAATGTTTAAAGTAGACTTGTCCTTGTAATTAACAAGTCACTTATCAAGTCACGATAGATATTATACTTCTGTTTGAACAAAGAACCCGTCTGGAAATAATTAAACTGATGTTAATACTTACATTAAACGTTTTCTTATCCTCGTAGATGTACGTCAATGTTGTATCAGTAAGAACATCTTCGACGTCTATTTTGAGTTTTATATTGGTATCAACCTCATCCGCACTCCCTACTTTCGTTTTAACCGAGTTACTGCCTGCTAAATGAATGTCTGCAGAGTAAATATCTCCCTTACTGTATGTACGCACGTGGTTTATGATCTTCTTCATAACATACGAGTATTCGTCATTGGCATTCTTTTTCTCATTCTTATCTATAGCTATTTCGTCTTTCTCCATCTCGCTGATTGATCTACGGCGTTCCTTTGTTGAATCAACCCTGTCATCTCTATCAATACTGTTACTTCTTTGTAACTTAGCTCGTTTTGGTTCAATGTTTTGTACTGGCTCTTTTGGAAGATTGTTTTCACTCTTTTGAGAGTCTGATAGCTCATGACCCTTATCCCTTATATGTTGTTGAAGACTCCCCTGCGTCTTGAAAGACCTTCCACATTTTTGACAAGTAAACTGCCCCGGCTTTACTTCTTGATCAAAGTTGGTTTCTGTCTTCTGTAACTTAGCTCGTTTTGGTTCATTGTTTTGTACTGGCTCTTTTGGAAGATTGTTTTCACTCTTTTGAGAGTCTGATAGCTCATGACCCTTATCCCTTATATGCTGTTGAAGACTCCCCTGCGTCTTGAAAGACCTTCCACATTTTTGACAAGTAAACTGCCCCGGCTTTACTTCTTGATCAAAGTTGGTTTCTGTCTTCTGTAACTTAGCTCGTTTTGGTTCATTGTTTTGTACAGGCTCTTTTGGAAGATTGTTTTCACTCTTTTGAGAGTCTGATAGCTCATGACCCTTATCCCTTATATGCTGTTGAAGACTCCCCTGCGTCTTGAAAGACCTTCCACATTTTTGACAAGTAAACTGCCCCGGCTTTACTTCTTGATCAAAGTTGGTTTCTGTCCCGCTGTTTTTGTTCTTACGTTTTCTACATTCAATATGTAACAGCAGTAAACATTGGACTGTGAGTAGAACAATTAATATCCTGGCGAGAGTACCCATCCTTCTTTAAATGAACACGATAAGATATCCTAAACTTTCGGATTCTGAAAGGTAATAATTGTACACAGCGTTAGAAGACATTCATGTTTAGAGGTATTATATGTGATATGTGTAATAACTTCATTATCTCTTGTTTTCTTTGCATGTAAATGTTAACTTACCCAAATAACGATGGACGACAAAAGAACTCAGACATATTTTTAAGTTATCGTGACATAACGAGAAAGAAACTTGGGAGAAACGTGAGCCACGTCCAGTACTCAATCTCGCGAATCTTAGTTCCGAAAATATAAAGATAATCACGCCATATTTAGTTTAGTTAATTACTGTTTAGTTATTGACATATGATCAAAACCTAATTGGATAAATGAGAAAATGTACATAAAAAAGGTAAGTACAAGCATTATTGGTGTATAAAAGTAGTTCAAGGATTATTTATTATTTAGGTGCAAATGTTTTCAGATACTTTTTAATACAAATATCAAAGAGCATAAATTATCTGTTCTATGCCTTACAAAAACAAAATAGCCTAAATCGCTGACCAGAGGATATGGTCTAAACGGACAAGATTTAATTACCAGGATGTTCCTTGTTTAACTGACAGACGATTTGAGCATTTTTTTGTAAAACTACCAAATGATCACATTGCTGCACATTTTTATGAAAGTACCAAGTGGTTGAGAAGGAGATGTCGTTAAAAGTTTGGCTTTTTTTATTTAGCTCTGGTACCCATCTTGTTCAGCTCAGCTGAGCCATTTAATCATTTAGGACCACCAAATTCCTGTATAGATTCATCACAATTGGACAAGTCTTTTGAGAGGAGGGTTTGTTTAAGTAAACATGTTACCGACGGACGACGAACATTGGCATATCGCTATATAACTTAGAAACTTTGTGCTGACATAAGAAAATATATTATATCACAGTATACCATATATTTTTGTTTGCTTTTTTTCTCTCGCCATATTTTAATTTTTAGGTAAAAAACAAACAACATTTTTATCACTTTTGCTTTTATAAATAACTCAACAAAACTCTATCGTCTTTAACACATCTCCGCCTTTATTTCGTGTCGTGATTCATGTTTAGGGTCTTCGTAAGTAGGTCATACTTCTAGGCGCACTTGATTTTAAGCAACAGGAATGGGCCAAATATGATAAATAGTGGACTCGGTTCCACACACAAGGCCATTTTTATACTGAAAGGTTATTTTACATCTTAAACATGTTTTATAAATTATTTAACATCTGTTAGTCCAGATAAGTTATATTTCTTTGCAAATTTTCAGGACTTCAAATAAATTTAATGCACATTCTTACTACAGTATATAAACATTTATTTCCAAGCATAGTAGCACACAGGAAACATGTAACAGCAATTGAAATATACTTTTTACCACTTGTAGGTAGTAAAGACAGACATAAAACATTATTATTGAAAGTTTTTTCATCTGTTTAGTTATGATTTGTTCGATAAAGAGTTTGGTATCATTTTAAACAAAAGAATCAAGGTGAAATGACTTGACATTTGGTAGTTGGGAGAAGTTAATTCATGTGCATATGAGCCGTGTCACGACAAAACCAACATAATGGGTTTGCGACCAGCATAGATCCAGACCAGCCTGCGCCTCCGCGCAGTGTGATCAGGATCCATGCTGTTCGCTATCAGTTTCTCTACTTGTTATAGGGTTTGTAAGCGAACAGCATGGATCCTGATCAGACTGCGCGGAGGCGCAGGCTGGTCTGGATCCATGTTGGTCGCAAACCCATTATGTTGGTTTTGTCATGACGCGGCTCATATATTTCATAACTAACAGCAAATTTGCCATAACAAAACATACATTTCTTTTCAAATACATATTTTATAATGATCTTAACATTAAAATAGAAATTAGCATGGTTTAATTGCTGAATAAGTTGTTTTTATGTGTGACCTACACAGCCATGTACATGTATTTACATTTTCGTCTGCACTGTATAGGGAGAGGCTGGGGTGCAAGATCCCAGATTATGTCATATCCAGTTCAGTGAAACACAAATGAAAACTAAATAAATTCATTTGATTTTTTAAGAAAAAATGAAAAATGGGAAAGTGTGCGGGACCGGGTCCTGTGCGGAACCGGGTACACTGACTCTAATTATATAGAACATATCGACTAATACAACAACATATGTATATTTTTGGCTGGGACACACGTCGCACGGATACAGTATAGGTCATATTGCGACATTCCATATGTGGAGGGCTCCGTGCATTATATCAGGCAGAAACAAGCATCTGAGTAGAACCCTCGACTTTTCGTAAGCTAGCTGGATAGGTCAGTGACATGAAAGAATCTAAACTCCCTGTAGGATTTGAACCAACAACGATGTGGGGCAAGTGGTTTGAACCTTTACAACTCGGTGACGGATGCTAAGTGTTACGAGCCAGGCGTAACTAGAAAGAAAAGCCAGCAACAAACTTGTAACAATAACAAATTTATTACAGAAAAATTATTAAAGAAAAATAAAATAACAAATTATGTTTACAAATACCTGAAGTCCAAATATAAATGTAAAATCTAATGTCTAGTCTGATCCTGGAATGATCTCTTTTTGAATAGCACAGTTAAATCCAAGTTAAAATCCAAGAACACTTTAGAATAAATTCCCACAATAAAATCCACAAGAATAATTTAAACTATTTTAAAAATAATCCAAGCTCCAATAAATCACTTTATATCCAAGTTGAATAATACTCCAAATATATTGATGACTTAAAACGTAACTGAAGACTTAAAAGATCACTGATGACTTAAAAGGTAATACGAAAGAAAAAATGTCTCCTATTTATATTAAGCTAAGAAGTTTCTAGAATAGTCTTCCATTTTCTACATAAATCATAATCTAGCAACTTCAACAATAAAGATCATTCCGGAAATTTCTATCTAATTATAATGCATGAGTTTTCTACAACAGTTAAGAAAGTTCTAATACATACATGTAGTTTATGTTCTAAAAATAGAACAACGATAATATTGGAAATACCAACTGGTCAGATATAAATTATATACATGTAATATGTTGCATACATAACACTTCCCCTCTTCAAGAAAAAGAAATATGAATGAAATGAATATTTCTTTTACATAAATCCAAACAATGTAACTTACAAATAACATAGGAGATATGTTAAACAATTTTATACATTCATATATATGTGTATTATAAACAATAGCAAACAACAACAACAAAAAAAAATAATAATCAATCATATATAGATGTTAAATTTAACATACTGAAAATAACAGTTTAGACACGTGAAAGTGCATCAGGGATCAAATTATCTTTCCCTTTAATGTGTCTAATGTCAAGACTATATTCTTGCAAAAACAAGCTCCACCTCAACAACCTCTGATTTTTGTTTTTAAGTTTATGCAAGAAAGTGAGGGGATTGTGATCACTAAAGACAACAACAGGCAACTTTGAAGAAGTTAGATAAACTTCAAAATGCTGAATAGCAAGAATAAGAGCAAGGCACTCTTTCTCTATAGTAGAGTAATTTTTCTGATGTTCATTAAACTTTTCAGAAAAGTAACAAACAGGATGGTCAACACCATTGTTGTCTTCTTGGATCAATACACTTCCAGCACCTATGTCACTAGCATCTACAGCTAACTTAAAGTTTTTATTAAAATCTGGTGCCAAGAGAACTGGTGCACTCTTAAGTATGGCTTTCAGGCTGTCAAATGCCATTTGACACTTGTCATTCCAAATGAATTTGTTTCTTTTCTTTAGCAAATTTGTCAATGGTTCTGCAATAACCGAAAAATTATTACAAAATTTACGATAATACCCTGCCATTCCAAGAAATCGCATCAGTTGTCTTTTACAAGTTGGCACAGGAAATTCAGAGATAGCTTTGACCTTAGCTTCTATTGGTTTTACTTTACCCTGTCCCACTACATGTCCTAAAAATGTTAAAATCGCATGACAAAATTCACTTTTTGCAAGATTAACTGTCAATTTAGCATCACTAAGTCGGTCGAAGAATGATTTTATAGTTTTGAGATGTTCCTCCCATTCATCAGAGTAGATGATTGCGTCATCAATGTATGCGTCACATCCGTGTAGACCAGATATTACCATATTTATAAGTCTCTGAAAAGTTGCTGGTGAGTTTTTCATACCAAATGGCATGACTTTATATTGATATAAGCCGTCTGGTGTTACAAAGGCTGATATTTCTTTAGCTCTATCAGTAAGTGGAACTTGCCAGAAGCCTTTTAGAAGATCGAACTTTGTTACATACTTTGCTTTTCCAATTTTGTCAATACAGTCATCAATTCTTGGTATAGGAAATGAATCAGTTTTTGTTACAGAGTTCACTTTACGATAATCTGTACACATTCTATATGTTCCATTTGATTTCGGTACAAGAATACATGGAGAGCTGTAACTGCTTTGACTTGGTTCAATAAAGTCATTATCCAATAAATACTGAACTTCTTGTCTTAGGTACTTTTGTTTTATAGGATTCGTTCTATATGGATGTTGTTTTATTGGTTCAGAGTTTTCAAGAATGACGTCATGATGTATTTTGTCAGTCCGTGTGGGAATATCAGGAAATAAGTGTTCATATTCATAAATAAGCTGTTTCAGTTCATCTCGTTTCGACGGTTCTAAGTGAGCAAGTTTTTCATCCAGATTTTTCAGAATATCAGAGTTTTCAAGCTTTGTTGAACCAGGATCAGACTTTTCAAAACTTTCAGAACTATTATATTCAACTGAACATTGATTTTGTGGAACAGAGTTTAAAACAGATATAGGTTTATTAATTGTGCTATCTCTGTCAAAATATTCTTTTAACATATTTATGTGACACATTTGTTTTTGCTTTCGCCTCCCAGGAGTATTAATAATATAATTAAGGTCACTGACTTTCTTTTCAATTGTATAAGGACCAAAGTATCTTGCCTGTAATGGTTTTCCAGGTATAGGTAAAAGAGCAAGTACTCTATCACCAGGGTTAAAACTTCTTTCCTGAGCAGTCTCATCATACCTTG